TACAGCTAACTGCATGACTTAGGTAGAGGGGGCCATGACAAGTTTTGACTGGCCTATGGCTGGCCTAGGAGAGGTGGGGTGGTGGCCTGAGTTCTGAGCCACACAACATGAGCAAAAGCATCTTTACTCCAGGCACGTGGCAGTCAAAGGCCTTGCAGGGAGGGCACATAGGGACAGTGCCCAAACATAAGGTTGTTTTAGCTACAGGTTAATTCGGAAACATCCTGAATGAAATAAACCCATACTCTCTGACCAGCCCTCCATTCATGCGTTTGTCCTTCAGAGTAGTGTGCAAAATGACACAGACTAGGCTGGGAAGGTGGCTCAGTGGTAGAGTGCTTGCCTTGCATGCATGACGCCCTGGGTTCGATTCCTTAGCACTACGTAAGTAGAAAAAGCCAGAAGTGGCACTGTGGCTCAAGAGGTAGAGTACTAGCCTTGAGCTCAAGAGCTGAGGAACAGTGCCCAGGCCCAGAGTTCAAGCCTGACAACGGACCCCGATGACCCCGATGCCGATGCCGCCCCGCCGCCCCCCCCACCCCCATACCCATCCCATCCCCCCACCCCCGCCAAAAAAAATGACACAGGCTTTTCTTCATTTCATGTTTGCAGAGGCAAAAGGATGAAAAGAGCCCAGTGCTTGTGACTCACCCCTGTAAATCCTAGCTACTCAGGAGGCTGACATCTGAGAATCATAGTTCAAAGCCAGCCTGGGCAGAAAAGTCCCTAAGACTCTTATCTCCAATTAACAAGCAGAAAAAGGCAGAAGTGGAGGTGTGGCTTAAGTGGTAGTCACCAGTCTTGAGTGAAAAAGCCAAACGAAAGCTCAAGGCCCTGAGTTCAAGTCCCAGTACTGAGTGGAAGCAACTTTAATAGGGTTGCTGAATAATAGGGAACTATGAAATAAATGTTGACTTACCTATATGATAAGATACTATATGGCCAAAAATAGGAACAGGAATACTTTTAAAATTCTAATATGTATACATATATACATACATATGTGTGTCTATATATAGAGACACACATATCTATGTGTGTCTATGAGTATTTAGTTTTTCCTCAGCATCTGCAGGAATTGTTTCCAGGACTACCAAGAGTAACAGTCTATGGATGCTCAGGTCCCTTATATAAATCACATAGTGTTTGAACATAACCCACACATATCCTCCCACAACAACCTTAAATCCTCTCTAGATTACTTACACTATTAATGCAATGCAATGCTACATAGACTCTAATCCTAGTGTCTTCTTTAGGGGATAACAACAGGAGAAAAGTTTGCACATGCCCAGAAAAGATAACTATTTCAAGCATTTTTGATGTACGGTTGGTTGAACCTGCAGATGTGGAACCCACAAATATGGAGTGCCAACTGAATGTGTGTGTGCATACAGGCATTATCTATCTAAATTTTAGATATTAAATGACTTCTTCAAGGCTATACGTTTGTGTATCTATTCAAGATAACATTGCATGACAAAAGCAAAGCTCAGAAGAACACTGTCAATGGAACATTATTGATTATGGAAAGAAGGGTTCAAATTTTTTTACACATGTATTTGCCATTGTATACCTAGAAAAACCTTGAACAGGAGATATTTTAAAGTAACATTGACATTCCAGCCAGGAAAAGGAAGCATAAATAGGAAGCTCACAGTCTAGGCCAGTCAGGGCTCAAAGCATGAACCTGGCTTGAAAATAACCAACACAAAAAGACACTAGCTGCTCAACACCTGTGAAACCCTAAGTTCAAAACCCAGTCCTGCCAAAAAGGAGGAAAACAAACAAACATGATTGCTTCTACAGGCGACATTTACTCTTCACTGTAGACGTATAGTATTTGGAATTTGTACTGTGAGAATATATAACCTATTCAAAATAACCAAATACAATTTACATTTTAACAAATATATTCAAATAGATGCAGAAGAAGATGGTGTGGAGGATGCTGAGAACCTACAAGGGAACACAGGGAATGGGGCTGAGGAAGACAAAGGATTCTGGAGATGCTCACTCGGGCTGCATTTTAGGAGGTGCCACAGTTGTTGATTGCAACCACAAAGGACAAGGGTACTCTTGGCAGAACAGTGCCTATGTTTCCTTGGCAAGCCCCCACAAGAAAGGAGACTGGGCAGGTCCAGAGGACAGTTCTTTCTTGTCAAGCCATGAAGTTAAGGGTCTTTCAGTTTTATGGGGTTATTGTTGTTGTTGTTTTTCCTGAAAGTCACCGGCAGCCTTGGAAGGAACCAGTGACAAGATCCAGTCTGTATTCTCTAACATTGCTGGTGCCATGAGGAGGGTGGACAGAGGCAGGTAAGGGGCTGGGATGGTTTGAAACCTAATTCAAAAATTAAGTAGAATTATCTGGGGAAAGCGATGTCATAGAAGGGGAAACAGATACAGAAGAATTCAGAAGATGGCATCGACCTGGTATGAGAACCAGTGCCATGGGTGGTATAAATGAAGCACAGATAAGAAGGAGGGTAGGACATGGCCAGCAGAACTGCAGAAAAGGACCTAGCTTAGGAGGTGGAGAAGAAGAACTGAATGCTGGAGGCTGTGTGTCCCTGGGCAGCTCAACTCAACTCTGTCAATCTCAGGTGCCTGGTTTGTTAAGTGGGGCTATTTAGTGTCTAGCCACAAAATGAAATGCTTTAAACACAGAAAGCTCTTGACCACCCCCCACACAGTAGGTTCATCCCCCCCTCAACATACACACATATAGTAGGCCTTTCATAGGTCTCTGAGGTAGGAATTCCAAAGAAATGTCTGGAAACAAACAGGAAGATGTATATGATTCAGTGGATACAAAGACTCATTCCTGTACAATCCCTCTACCATGCCCTCCTTTCCACAAGCCTGAGACTGAGTATGGATCAAGGGCCAGAGATCTATCACAATAGCTGGGCAAGTAACTCAACACCCAAGATTTTGCTAGAAGGAGGACAGTTATCCTGGGCTGTTCAAAGATTGGCTGGTTTAGTTCCACACAAACACTAATATCTATAAACACCCAAGGATCAGGCCAGCATAACAGTTTGGAGTACTTCACTTCCTGAATTGTGTGTATCGAGTCTCTAACCATGACTGTGAAGCCAACCGTGAAAAACACCCACTGGACTGGAACTTGGTCACAAGCATGGAGAGCTCTAAGAAATCTTCCAGGGACGATGATGCCACAATACTGCAATCCAAGCCATACTATCTATCACTGCAGACTACCTTGAATTATCTGCAAAAGGTGAGCTTAAATAAGATGATAAGAGCCGGAAAGAGGTGATAACATATACAAACCTCTGGGGGTTAGCCATACTCACTCAAATAAACCCAGCATGCCTCTTATGGCTGGTGCTGAGGTAACTCACTAGTCTTTCAGTAAAAAGGAAGAAAAACTCAATTTTCCAAGGCTGGGGATGAAACCCAGAGACTCGAGCATGCTGGGTAAGGACTCTTCGGCTACCATTGAGCTACAACACCACTCCTCACAGCATTTTTTTTTAAATAAGCACAAAACAAGAGTCTGGAGACATCTCTTGAATGCAGACTCCCCAAACAGTTTCTTAGCCCAAGGGCTAAAGATGGTGAGGACACAGAACAACTTTGTTCTCTAAACCACCCCTGCTCTGCTCTGGGGTTGCTCTGTGGGTCTGCCCTTCAGGGCTGGGTCACCACCAGAGGCCTCCTTGACAGGACCAGTCCTGAGCCTTACAGCACAAACAGTGCTCCAGAAGAGCTGGTTTTATACAAATTGCTCAGATAGATTTATACTACTGCTTGGTTATACTTTATTAGATGTACACAGATCCAATATAAACAAGGGAGTTAGCCACCCAGCAAAATCCCCCATGCTTCACACAGAAAAGAAATATTGACCAGAACTCAATGACATTCTGTTCAAGGCCCAAGAACCCAAGTGACCATGGCCCAGAAGTTAAAGAAAAATAAACATAAAAAAATAACCACTGTGACTAGCCTCCTTACAAATCCATCAGATACTGCCATTCATCTCGCTGGAAGCCTTGTCTCCCTTTACCAGAAAAAAAAAAAAAGCCTCCATCTTTCAAGGTCTCTAATTTTCTTAGAAGAGTAGAGACTGAGCAATCTTCCTGGGATTGTTCTAGATATGTGTGTGAACTGCTGATGGGCGAAACACGTGTTTCTCTTTCCTGCCAGCACAACAGACAGGCTGATGCTCAGAGAGACTAGTTCAGATTGCCTGGGTGAGGGGAGGAAAATCACCTCCTCCCCCACTTGCTTGCCAACTGCTGTACCTCAAAACTCTTGCTAAAGGGTATTAGGGCAATTCCACCACATGCTTCCAAATGAAACCCCTAAAAGAGTCTAGCCTTTTCCAACACAAAGCATCCATACCATTTAAACACCCCCTAAAAACGTAGAGGCTCTCATTTACAATCAATCAGTGGGAAGACAATCAGTCAGTTCAAAGATTAAATTCCTCTAGTTTTACCCATCCATCAACTTCCATCCATTTTCATAAACTCAGGACACCTCTCATCCAACCCCCCACGCATCCCCAGGGCCATCCCCACCTCCAGCGGAGTAAGCAACCCCAGCTGACTGACACAACTCTAATCGCACAGAAACTAACTCACAGTGGTAAGCAGCCTCTGCGGCCTCCAGGAAAACTGAAGACACGTGCAGCCTTGGTGGGGGCATTTTCCGGGTGCCTTCCACACTCGCAGCTGGGGACCACATTACCTCTCTCTCCCTGTCAGAAGCAAAGCATCTATCTAATCCACCCTGTTCGCGCTCCTGCAAGACTCCACGCCTCCTGCGACCTGGCACCACACTTGTGGGAAAGCGCCTCCAGCTTGAGGCCAGGATGTGCAAAGGCCGTGGACTTGGAAGGAGGAAGCCTGGAGTAAGAGCTCAGATCCCCAGGGCAAGGCAGAGGCAGTGTGTGGTTCTGGGATGTGGAAATGGCGAGAAGGAGACAAGGCTGGGAGGAGAGGTGGGGGGCGGAGGGGGTCGCTTACCCAGGGTCTTGACAGCGATCTGCCTGGTGAGGGGCGGCGGCAGGTTGATGCACACCAAGTCCACGTCCTGGTGCAGCAGCACCTCGTCAATGCGGCTCGTGTAGAAGGGGACGCTCATCTCCTTGGCCAGCTCCTCGGCTTCCTCCTGCGTGCGGCCCCACAGCGCCTTCACCGCGAAGCCCTCGTCTTTCAGCAGCGGGATGATGACACGGGCCGTGAGGCTGGTGCCGAACACGCCCACCCCGGGAAGCATGGCTGCTCCGATCCTTACGGGCGCTGCTGCTGGCTGCCCGGTCGAACCCGCGCGCACACTGCTCTCCTGAGCCAGTCCCGCACTGGGCTCCCGCAGCCCGAGCTCCCCGCGGCGCGCCAGGTGCCCAGAGCGCACCGAGCGGCAGACCCAGCAGGCACGGCGCGCGTCAGCACGGGGACTGCGGCAGTGTCCGCCACGCGGGGTTCCCGTCCTTCCCGCAGACAGCGTCAGGGACTCCCCCGGGCTGTGCGAGGCCCCGGAGCCCCGCGATGCTCCGTCTCAGGCCGCCTTCCCGCTGCGGCGCCGGCCGGTTCCG